AGGCAGCATATTACCACTCTTTGCTCTGATTCTGCGATATTGATTACAGAAATCAAGTACAGGTATTTGGTAACACTAGTATATTCCAATCAAAGTAATCTGGATAACACAAATTCTTTGGCACGCTGATGGTATGCATCTTCAAGCACCAGGCTTTGAGAAGGCGCTTTGCTGCCTGGCATAAAGCAGCTGCTCCCCAGAGGGGCATGCCAGTGAAGAAGATCTCTGTGCCTTTGCCTTAGAGTCTTCCTTGGCCAAAGGTAATGTGTTTTCTTAGGCCAGCTCATGTCTTTGCAAAAACCAGATACCCTAGTCATCCTTCTACATATTTGGTGGTGTTGCTGTCTCATCTGGGTTCCTGAGCCCATTCATCTCCCGCAGAGGGCACCCTTTGAACGATCTGTTCCAGTTTTGAATGATGCTGAAGCTACACAGATAGCGGTACAAGTACGACAGCAGAAACAATGGCAGTAAGCCCTCTTTCTCCCTTCTCTGACTCATTCACTGTTCCTGAGTACAAACCTGGGAGCGTGCTCCACTTTGACTGTACTGTGTGTCAGGAAAGGTGTTGAAAACAAGAAAATACTTTTCACTGTCTTTCTCACCCCAGCAGCACATTTGATAGGTAATTCAGCCATTCCCAGAATCTACATGCGTGTTGTTGAATTTATGTATTTAGTATTTCTAAAATGAGAATAGCATAACTTACTGTTTATTCTTTCCATTTCTTTGCACTTCTTGTTTTTTAGCACTGTAATCAACAAACAGCTATAGTTCATCCAATGTACTCAACAAGAAACAGGACAGCCCCAACGCCAATAAAACAACTAGGCCAATTTCACATTTTCACCTCATTACCTAGAATTGCAACTTCTGCATTTTATAAGCACCTAAGCGAAAAAGGATTTAACTTCAGAATTTACTGGACATTCGTTTTGGTTGGTGTAAAAAATATAAGAGATTAGGTTTATAGCACAGGTTTTACATTTCTGGGAACAGCAATGACAATTCCTCCGTACGGTTTTTACTTTGACCTGTACACCACATCCCACCCCCAAAAAGAAGAGAGCGTAAGTAGCAGTAAGTTCTTCAGTTAAAGCCACAGAAAAACTGTAGGAGTTAGTTCCATGTATTAACTCTGCAATTATCTGAAATTCTATTTTTGAAGAACTTTGTGGGTTTTTTTTCCCTTTTAATTTGTTCACATGGCTTTGGTGTCAGCCTGATTTTACTAACTTAGGTTGGTGAAAAGTTGTTACACCTCCCTTTGCTGCAGAATAACATATACTAGATTACAGCAAGAGAACAGGCCAGGTTTTATGTGTATTTCAAAACAGCATAACCAAAAATGTATGCGTTTGCCATTTTTCCTTTTCACAGACTTCAATAATTACTTTACTGAGTGATTACATAACTTATACCATATGCTCCAGAAATAACAACTGAAACATTACAAAGAGAGTGAAAATAACCTACTGTGATCAAGACAAGATGCAACTGCTTACTGACAGCATGTAATTCATATACCAACAGAGCAGAGTATTGTCATGGATTGTTTTGGAGTTCCAAAGCAGAAAACTGTCTGTGATTTCCCTTTACATCAGAGTTAGTCTTCCACGCAAATTCATGTCAGGTTTTGCAGTGCTCTCCCTGGAAGCACCACGTTAGGCCTTCTTGGGGTATCTCCCACGGTTCTCTACACTATAGCAAACCGAGATGCTCAGTAAATGCCTTTCCAACGAGTTGAGAACTTATTTGTTCCACAGGGCACAGAGGTGAGGAACGCTCTCGGGATTCATGTGGTGTAACCTGCATGTTTACTATAAATTTTACAGATAATACGCTTGAATGAAAGTGAATTAATGAATCATGGATTATTCCTAGCCACACCTCACAAAGGTGCCTGCTAAAGTAATTTAAAAAAAATGCTGCAGAAGAGGTGAATACTGGTGCTCAGCTATGATAAAAGTTATTCAGGAAGGGTGTTAATGTGAGGTAACGATCAACTCAAGTAGGCACATAGCAGATTATTTTTCTTAAACAATTTTTCTATTCTTGAAGCCAGGGAAACATACAGTAATGAAACAATGTACTCTTTGTTTTATCTGTACCTTTAATCAAAACCTTAAGATGATATATGCAAGTTATATAAATAACAATCAGAATAAATAATTTTAAACTTTAACATCTCTTACATTCTATTTGGAAAGCAAGAAGGGAAGCTCAGGGAAACTAACCACACTCTTGAGCCTTTCCTAACAAAGTGAAGGAGATGCTGTAAAACAAGGTGGAACTACATGGGGCAGCCGCAGGAGCCTAAAATGGGTTTTCTTATTCTCTCAAATCCTTTCCCTGGCTCTGCTGTTGCCTCTGTCCACCTGCCAGCTCTGACATTCATCAGGCTCTTGCTGAGTGGGACAATTCATTAACCCAAACAAAAATTAACTTCTCTCCCCCAGGGCTACTGAGTTAAGTTGTTTCACAGAAAGGCCTAATGAGCATTACCACCAAAGCAAAATAGGTGTTGAAAGCAAACGGGTAGTAGAGGGAAAGGAGCTCAAGCTATATGGGACAAAAATAATTTATGGCAATATAAAATATGTTACAGGCTTTAGTTTCTCGGAAGAAGTTTCTGGCATTTCAAGATTGCAGAAAATCTTGGATTACTTTTGCGAAGGCATACGATGAGCCAAGATTTAACATTTCAAAAGCAGACCCAGACTATTTTGTTTGTCCAGGATCAAAAATGAGTTTGATGGTATTGTGCGTGCTATGGTATTAGTAGCAGAATAGAAATATAGCCGAGAACAGAAAAGAATTACAATGAAAGTACTGAGCAAATAATACAAGGAACACAGTAAATATCAAACCTGAAATGTAAAATGGTAAGATTAAGACAGAACAAAGAAGAGCAATAGACACCTATATAGCTCTTGCACATGTATAAAAGACTGGCCCAATTCACTGCTAAAGACACATTAGAGTTCAAACCAGTTTTATATAAGAAGGTGGAAAAAAACCCCCACACAAATCCCATGTTTTTATACCATGTTCGCATTTTAACAATAACTGGGGAAAGAAGCCACTAGTATAGGAAATTTCCAGAGCACATGGAGGCATTTAGATATTTCATAATTAGCAAAATCAACCATAAAGTTGAAGGCATAAAGAAGCACCAACAGCTACTTTCCCGCTGCCATGAACATTTTTAGGCTGTTTGTATCAACAACTGGCCAATACATACAAAGTTGCTCTTACTGGGTACCTGAACAGCCTGAGCTCAAAGGGAGAGGTGGAAAACAAGCTACCTCCTCAGGAAGGTCCTGAAATTAGGCAATTTTCACTATAACTGATGGGGATAACATCAGCCTTTGAAGGAGCAGACAGATGTCCCATCCAATGGCTGGCCACTCAAAGACAGGTGACAGCATTCATTTACATCCAAGCAAGCACACAATCAGAAAACAGATTGAGGTAGGGGGGAAATGCTGGAGACTTTGCATTATAAATATGCATAAAAATAAAAAATGCATAAATGCATTTCCCTTTATACACACTGCAAGAGCTAACACCCCCAAGAAATGCACTGGTAACCTGATCAAAGTGGAACTTGCTGGCAATGGTAGGAAGGCAAGGGGAACAGTTCTGGCTCAAAGGGACTGACATTGAAACCAGCATCCCCTTTACTTCCCCGTGGGCATTTCCACTTGCAACTCAGATTTCCATTCCACAGCAATGCATCTCTTGTGAAGATGAGGAAAAACCCTACTCCCCATGTTGTGGGAGGCATAGCAACAGAGAGCAGCGCTTATACAACTAAACTAATTCTGCAGCCACAAGAACTCTCATGCTGCTTTAAGGAAGTGATTTTCCTAGCATGGCTTAACACCAGGAGATTGTACCAGAGCCAATATTGGAGAACACTGATGAAGGTGCGCACTCGCATCTTATGGCACCAAATATAAAATCTACCTTGACTATGGAGCATCATCACTGCTGACACTTAATACTTAAAGATGCTCTACCTGCTTAACAGATGAAGGGGAAAGATCCCAGCCTCTTCCAACTCCTGAATACATCAAGAAAAACCCTCAGAGGCCCCAGTTCATCCTAACCAAAGTGAAGAGCAATGATACCCTGCTTGTGGGCCTTTTAAGATACACCTTCAGGATATGCTTTGAATACTGGTATCAAAAGCCTTGAAGGCAGAATAGCAAGACAGAGCTGTATGGTTTCTTGTTGGTCCAGCTTTCTTTTCCTGGGATACCTTTTCCCTTCTTAACCATTTGTGGTTTGAAGAGCCTGCAGCTGGAAAACTTCCAATGTACTTTCTCCTAAGTTAATGGAGGCATGTTCTACAAGATATAGTATTAGAATAAATACTGGGGTGAGTTGCCAGAATGAACCAAAGAAGTGATGACATAGCAGAAGTGTCAGATGGTAGAGAAGTTTTATATAAAAATAAGAAAAGCTACCTCATTAGGAAAGTTTGATTCCACAAAACTGTTTACATCCAGCAACTGAGCAGACATGAAATGGCACTAAGTGCACTTTGCATTGCATACATTAGTTACAATATCCTAATAGGCACAAGGATATCTTTTACAGTAAGACTAGGAGATTCTCCTGACAACAATAGTTTTTCCAGTGCTCTCCCCCATTCAACATTAGCTGCAACAATGCTTAGAAGCTCCCAAGACATGGCACAAAAACATTGTACTTTGTTGCAGATAGTATTTTCTCATAAAACATTAAAAATGTACAGGCTTACTACTAAGCACTGCAAGTTATAAAAAAGGAATTACAATTCACTATCATTAACATTAAAAAAAGACACCTTTCACCAACTTTCAGCTATTCAGTCCTGGCGACCAGGTCCATTCAGTGAAAAGGCTATTACTCTGTGCCTAATCACAGAGCAAAGATTCCTCCTCAGCGTGCAGATAAAAGGGACAGGCTATCATCCATAACTACATAATCTCTGACTGAAAGCAGTCATCCTGAATTTTTTCATGCTTGATCACTGTCAAAAGAACCTTAAGGCTGCCCAGGGAAGACATTACAGCAACCTTCTTCAGTTAGTTTTCTCAGTGGGTTGAGACCATGACTCTTCCTGCTTTCCAGGTACAGTCAATGAACACCTGCATAAAACTATCCTTCAGTTGTCAGAAGCCAAGTACCTCTGGCCGTTTCTTTTGAAAGTATGCTTGAGCTAACACCACCATTGATAGCACCAGTCCTACACCTTTGATCCAAACCATGACCTCCCTACATCAAAGCAAAGCTTTATGCAGCTGTGAAGACTAAGGAAAGTGAACCCGATTAAAGCCAGCCCAGCCAAGAACAAACATCTCTGCTTATGTTTTGTTCACCTTTATATATATTTATATACAGATGAGCAGAAGGTTTTGTCACTTATCAGCCCTCCCCCCTTAATCTAGCTCTCAGTTTCAGTTCTACTTCAGTATGCCTGTGTACATGATTTTAAAGCACTACTTAAGCAATTAACAGAACTGAAGTGGTATTATAGCTTGTAGAACAAGATGCTGTGCTTTGTTTTAGCAAAAAATTACAGACTTGTCTGTTTGGAGAGTCCTATAACATGCCTCCAGATAGCAATTCAGAACAGGAATGCAGTATGAATTATGAATCAACTCCTGGAGAAGCCCCTCTCAATTATAAGCAGAGATTAAAGAGACCTGCACCAATTACGGTGTCCTGAAGTTACCTGGTGTGAATCCCATTCCATTTCTAGTAGCAGCTTACCATGGTGCTATTTACAGTCACATGTATGAGCTCTAATGCATAGATTTAAGTCCCTGGCTACAAAATATTTGACAGTTTAAAAATCTAAAACCAGGCAATCAAAATTATTCACTGCAGAGCTGGAATCAGCAGCAAATTTATGCTTTGCCGATGCAATGGAATCTTTCCTCTAAGGTACTCAGAAATCTTTATAAAGCTACAATTTCAGACTAAACATTAGTCTTATTTGCATATGAAATACTATCATTCATAATTCACATTCCCCTGAAAATATCCCCAGAAGCTGGATAGGATATTCACTTTAGAACTTAGTAAGCTGATCCATCTGATCTCCACAAGTCTAACTTGGAAATATCACACAACAGTTTTATGTGCATTGTGGTTGCAAGTATCTTCTTTTGTTCTTTAACATTGTACATTTTGGTTTATTAGAGCATTGTTTGAGAATGCACAATACACTGAAGTCAATCTGATTTAACACAATGTCAGCCAGAAACCTACAGTAACCTGGTTAAAGATATGAGAGCTCTAGGCCTGAAATAATGCTGATGATTGTGTAAAGATGATCACATTTAGATTCAAAACTTGTTTCAGTTCTAGTACATCTGTTTTAACAAAACCATCTGCAAGCAGTTACAGTTAAGACTGTATAGATAATAGGGTATATATTTCAATACTCAGTGACAAATTGTTTTTAACAGTAATTTTTGTAATGTGGCTACAAGAGAAAGTTTTAAGTGAGACTGATTATCACACCTCTCAGATAGTCTGGTTGTTTTCCCATTTTCAAAAGAGTTTTAATTCACTCCCAGGAGTTAAATTTTTAATTTTCAGTTTCTTTGAACATTTTGCTCAGCTGTTCAACTAGTGCTACAAGCTCAGGGTTTCCCCCAAGTGATTCAATTTGTTTATAGGCTTCAGATTCAAGCTCTTTCAATGTATTCCGAGTGTACTCAAAGGAACCCACATTTTCAAGGTAATGTACACAGTATTTTTTTATATCTATGTTCTCTGTCCTTTGACGTAAAATGTTTTGCACCTGAGTACTTTCAGGTCTTGACCAAATTGCATGAATGGTTGGGAATGAGAACTTGCCCTCAGTTAAGTCTTCACAAAAACTCTTGTTTTCACTATATTCTTTGGAGTGCAAGTTGGCATAGTCATCTCTTATCTGGAAGAAGAGGCCAAGCGTGTTAAGAAGTGGCTTTAAGTCTTTTTTATAATTTGAGAACAGCTGCATGAGGCCTACAGCTAATCCAAAGAGACCACCTGTCTTTTGCAGTACCATAGCTTTATATTCAGCTTCTGTAGGACACGTGTAAGTATCCCTCCAGTAAATATCCAAGCCTTGACCTTTATGGAGTTCCAGAAGTTGACGGGTAAAAACTTTAACAGCATCTGGATGATCAAGGGTTAAAACCTTCTCTAAGCCAAGGAAATACACATAATTAGCACAGTTGATTACAGATGGAATACCATAGATACTGTGTGCCACTGGAAAGCCCCGTCGTAGCTTTGAGTTATCTTCAATATCATCCACAAGTAGGCTTGCATTGTGCAACATCTCTGTCACTTCGATGATAACCTATTACAAGAAGAGAAAATTATTAAGTCTCCCACTGTAATTTAACCTCCAGTTTTGCAAGACCTTATTTAAAATGGATAAGGTTTTAAAGAATGACATTCTCTATCACTGAGGTTCCCCTTTAGACCACTTGCTTTTACTATTAATACAGATTTATGATTCTCTTCATCAGCCAGTTTGCTGTAAATCCTGGATCATGTTGTCTGTCTTTTGTGTAATGTTTTCAGATTCAAAATGAACTTCCTCCCTGAATTGTTTCCACTTGTATGCGCCTCATTGTTGCTACAGTTTTAAAACATGCCATTGCCTAGGAGTCATGCAGTAACTGTTATTAGAAACATGAATAGAGGAAAAGAAAAGCAACATAATACTGTGACAAGGTTAGATTCACTAACCTGAGATCTCCTAAAGTCAGTTCATGAGAGTGTCAGGTATCACCCATTAACACATTTGTCTCAAACCTTGTTTGATAAGTGGAGAGTTCATCTTTCTTTCCCCACGCTTTGTGTAGTTATTTTCAGTACTGAGCTCTTAAAGGACAGACTATTCTCTCTGAAACATCATTTGGAAAATTCTTGGCAGGAAGGCAACAGCTATAACTTCATTTGAGAAGTTTCCTACACACTTACTACTAGTTACTAGGTAGACCAATATCATACACCACCTGAGGTATGCAATAAACTGTTCAGAACATCAAGCTTGTAGCTGACTACATTTGACTAAAAGTGAACCTTAACAATTCCAAAGCAGGACGATTCAACAAGAAATGAAGAGTTTTAACACTATATACTGTTTTTATTGCACAGCTGCTATGCAAAGAACATTCAGCACCTGCTTAAGTGGAAATAAATTTAAGCATGTAAAACTGCGCACTGTATAAACTCAGTGCAGAACACATCTGATTAAGATATGATTTTAAAGCTAATGAACCAATTACACTTGCTAGCTACAAACACTGCACTCAGTCAACATTCATCAAAACAACTGCTTCTAAAAAATACTATACCATTAAATAGTGGCAAGTACCTAGTATGGTCCTATTTGGTGGGTGCTGCAGGAAAAAGAGGGACTTCGCTGCAAGCATTTTCTTGAGCAGCAAGTCACCTAGTGTTCAGTGACCACTGTCAGTTCGTGAGAGTGTCAGGTATCACCCATTAACACATTTGTCTCAAACCTTGTTTGATAAGTGGAGAGTTCATCTTTCTTTCCCCACGCTTTGTGGTATTAGTATGTGTATTAGATATCTGTCTGCAGTAATTCAGTTTTTCTTTGTTGGTAATTCTTTGGCTGTTGAGACCCAAACCCCAGCAATCTAATTGTTTGTCTAAGATATGACTGCAAGAACAACCTACTTAAGCACTAATGACTCATCTACCAGTTAGAAGTGAGCCCTACTTTGACCTGCAAAGATATGTTGTTGCCCATTGACTTTAAATCAGAGGATAGAGTACTCACTGAAAGCAGCTTTGCATACCTATTTTTCTGAATATTTTTAGTCCATTATGTCATTCTCATTCTCAGTACAACCAGGAAAGTTTCCCTGTATTCTGCAAATTCCTTGGATAAGCCTATTCTAGCATTTCTCTTCTTGCTAACCTATTTCATATCACTGTCAGTTTCATGAACTTTTGCAGCTTCTAGACATTTAAGGTTTAATTGAAATAGTGCTTCATGACTGCGTGTTTGAATTAGTTCTTGTGAAATTAAGACAGTGTCAAAAATGCTTCAAAGTTGAAAGTAAGGAGCAAAAAGTTCAGACAGCAGAAGCAGCTTATTTTAGAACACATCAGGAAGTAGCCTGAGGAAATGAAAAGACTGCTCTTTATAATGAAAGCTGAAGAACCAGTACAGAGTGTTATGCTTTCTTACAACCTAAGCCTACCGAGTCAGTGGCTGTTGCACTATCACTCCAACACACAGATTTCTACCTCCTTACCTGCAACAGCTTTAAAATTTGCTTGGCCCTGTACTAGGCCATTTCGGTGCCTTCTAAGAAGAAAGTTCATCTGACAAATCCAGTGTTGTCTAATTCAACAAGCTGAAGTGTCTCAGTGCAGCATCAGATGAGTACTAGAGATGCACTAAGTAGGGGGGAAGACCACTTGGCTGAGAAAAAAGTGAAATGGTGGCAGCCAATAGTAAAATCAACTACCAATGAACAGTATCCTCAACTGTACTCATCTAAATAAACTACATGAAGCTAAGTGATCTAAGGTAAAAAAGTGTCCTATAAGGAGTGCCAGAGTTCAGATTTTTAATAAAAGAAATACAAATAGCTGGAAGGGAATCGGGCTGCTAGACAACTGAGATGTCTTAAGAAGATTATGAGAGATGTCAAAAAGATGACTAGAGGTGGTCCTGCAGACCTCAACAACTTTAAGTTATTAAATTTAGTAAAAGTATGCACGAAAGCAGTAATAATTGTGGCAGGCGCAGATTAAAAGATGACGTCTTGTTTTTGTCCTCAAATGACCTGAAGAATAAAAATATTAAAGTTCCATCGCAAACAGCTTAAGTGGTAAAGGAAATATTAAAGCATGAGTTTTCTTCATATAGATAACCAGAACAAGTGGCCTAAGTTTTCAATAATGGTTGCATGATCATCAGTTTAAAAGTGACAGGTAGAACTGGTAACTTCTGTTCACACAGAGGCACTGCAGCTTTAGTTTACTATAGTACGTGAGAGAAGATGGACTGGTACTGTCACGGGTGCTCAGCCAAAGGGCAAGAGGCAACAGTCAGACTGCAGCATAAGAAATCTCAATTGGACAGGACGGAAGAGTTTGTTACCATGGAAGGGGTTCAGCATGGGAAGACAGGCCCAGAGAGGCTGCAGAATCTACATCCTCAGATTTTCAAAACTCAGCAAGGGCCGCAGAAGCCTAAAGTAGCTATGGAGCAAGCCCTGCTTTAAGCAGGAGGTTGTCCTAGATAATTCAAACTGGAAGAAGCCTCTGGAAGTTCTGATCTATGATATCAGACTAAATCCATGCATACAATACACAGGTTACTATATATTTTATTTGGATATGTAGCTGAGCACAAAGGGTAAGAAGTGTCTAGCTGGAAGCCAGAATAAATCTGGCTAAAGTTTTATAGACAGGTTGGAAAATAGAAGAGTTACTAGATGATGAATACAACCTCTTCCTTCATTGTTTAAATCACTTACACCATTTTGCTACTTGAGGACTACAAAGTGTCACTCTTACGCCACCCTAAAGAGGACTCCTTCACAAACTCTAAAGGTACTTCTGCCTACAATTAATGAAGTTAACTAGGGACCAGCTGGGTAAGAGTCAAAAAACATAATTGGTTATTTTAATTCCTTACATTGGCTTGTATACAGAGAATCTTTTGCACCCTCGATATGCGGTTTGGCAAAACTGTAGCCTAACGAAGAGGACAATTTTTCATTCGACAAACCACAGTGTTTACACAGCCATACATCTTGCACAGATTTGGCCAACAGAAAAGCAAAAGGAAAGGAGAATTCCTAGTCTAATGCTTCTCATTAGGGAGTAAGGACTCTAGACCGTATGATAAGACCACCACAGTTTTAGGTCCAGAACAAGGAGTGGTTTATAAAGTTGATTTAACTGCTGCCTCTGATATTCTTGTATCAAAACCATAAGATTATTTTCAACCACTATATTTGTGTAGTTTACAATGTAACTGTCCAGCTTCTTTCATAAGTCATTGAAAACTCAGTGTTAATAACTGAGTTAAGTGGGTAACAATAGTAGCTGCTTATCTACAACTTAAAAGGTTGAGCACGCTTGGAAAGCAGTAACTATTCTACATAAGACAAGTTGTGGAAGTAATTTCTTTAGTGTTACATCACAGTCAAAGCTTTGCACTAAAGTTGTTTTCCTGAAAGTTTACTTTAATATATTCAGAAATTAGTGCATTTAAGGTTTCTGATCATTTATGCTATATAAGAGAATCATCTGTTATCAGTAGTCTTGGAAGAAAGGTAACAAACCTTTAAAAATAATTAGCCAGTACCTGTATTTTATCTTCTGGAACATTCAGCCAGTGATTAAAGGCCTGTGACAGTTTGGTTCTCACTTGCTTACCTACAATAAAAATATTATAGGCATTTATAAAAAAAAAATCACATAAAGTTCATTATTAGGGACAACAGTTTGTCTTAACAACTATAGCTGATTTGAGACCAGTAAGCTGATGATCAGTGTGATCACTTGAAAGCAGAAAGTGTGTAGATTGTTTTGTCATTGTATAAACATCACAACCATCAGCAACATCAGTTTTAAACATTTCACAGTAACATGCAAAGCACATATTTACCAGTTACTGTATTTAGTTTTGGTAGTTTAATTAGTAAGTGATCCTGAGTACTTTGGTAACCTGTATAGATCAGCTTACTACTTCTGAAAGTAAGCCCTAGTTTGCCAGGCACATTGATTTTGTGTATGTAACAGATTAAGAAGTTTCAATTATGATTCATTATTAGTTGAAGATATGGATATTTGTTGAATATCTATTTCTCTCAATTTTTAGGTCTTTCTCCTGCAGTACTCTTCACTTGCTACTGACAATTTGTAAAACAGGAAGGTGACATTTGACATACTAACTCTAAACGAAAATCTGAACAGAACACCCTGAACAGAATAGAACTTTTCAAGAATTCAGACATCTTATACCTGAGAAGTCTACCTATGAATAACAGGATTTGTTCTGCTTTGGCTAAATCTAGTTTGGTGGAGCCAAGCAGTCACCCTGTTTCATAGGAATGAGAGACAAGATCAAAAGTCCAAGTCTAGTGTTAAAATAAGCATTACTATTCAATCCAGATACATTTTACATGACAGAGTTAGTTTTAATAGAAGTTAACCTATGTGACTATAAATTATTGATGCCAGCTTTCTTTAATAAATTGCTAGGAGTCATGTACAAATATTTATTCAGTGTCTACTAACGATCAATATGAAAGTCACTCCCTACCCACACTGAGACAATGCTGCTCTGAACTTTGAGAAGCTCAGCTGTAAGATCTTCGAACAACTGCAAGACAGGTTTAGACAAACAGCTCTGCATATGTAGCTCACATCAACAAGGCCTTTAGAAAAAGTTTAAATAAACTTCAAAGCAGTGCAACCTAGACAGTGGGTTCCATATTACTTGTCTTAAGATCTACTGAGACACATAACTTCACAATCCTGCAATATCAGTCCTCATGTTGATGATGCCATCTTGCCCATAGCACTGAAAAAATTTCAACATTTGAATGTCTCCCTAAGGCTTCTCTATTGCTGTGTGACCAGCACGTAGAGAACAGAATAATAGAAATGGGTAGATTCACTTGCAGTGATATACCCTGGAGAAACTGGACTCAGGATTTTTCCTTTTCTAATTAAGTCACCACCAGGTAAGCAATAGCTTTGTGATTTGGGCTTTGCAGCAAGGGTGATAACCTTCCTCCCCGGCTCAAAGGGCTTCAATTTTTGCCTCAGTTCTCAAAGATTTCCACTGCTTCCCATCACCACCATCTTTTGGTTTGCATTAGAAGAGACTAATGAAGAGGTGCTTCTTTTCCACCCCTGCCCCCAACAGCTTTGTCCTCTGGCTCTGTCCTGTGTGAAAGGGCACTCTTACCTGGACATACACTATCATGGGCTTGTGTTCTCCATTTGTTTTCTGTGCTCAGTTTTAAACATTAATAGCTTTCTGCAAGAGGGAGGGATTGTTTTGTCTCCCAAATAGATATTTTAAGCTCCCCGTGCCAGGCTTGCTCTCTATCAGGAAAGTACATATCTGGTTCTACATTTTTTTTTTTTAAACCTGTTTATTTAAATCAATAATTTGCTGACTTAGAAGTTCACTATTTTAACACAGGTAACCAGAGCTCAAATTTAAATACAAAATTAGATTAGTGCCCAAGAGTTTAAAAACCTCTTACATTAACTAAGTACCACCACTAATACAAGTTAGACCTGCTTCTGACAACATCTCCTGCACATACTAAGGATTTGAAACACTTCAGACACTCAGACCTCCCCCCTTTTCTCCCATGTGGTTAGATCAGATTTTGGCCAGATTGTTTCCTTCATCTCACTCACTACACACTTGTGACCACCAGTACTGCACAACAGAGGGTCAAAGTGCCCTGCATCAGAGGTTCAATATTTTAAAATAATTGCATGAGTTATCTGAGGAGAAAAGATTGCTCAAAAATATTGAGAATAACTGTTACAAACATCTGCCAAACCATATGGCTTGCCAGTTAAGTATTAACAAATATTTCGGTACATACTTAAAGAAAACTACTCAGATAACATCACACTAAAGAAGTGTACCTTATCTACAGCTGTTTATTTACTTCTAAGTTACACTGATACAGACAACACCTACTTTTTTACATTCGACAGCTAATTCTGTTTTTCTGAATGCATTTCCTAGCAAATATGCTTATGGAATGCTAGATGTTCAGCAACAAGTGTTATTTCGTCATGAGGAACATAACTACTAGCACTCACTCTAAATGGATTATTAACATGCACAGTGGATTTAGCCACTTCAGTTCCTTAGTAGAGACAGCATTTGAATTGTTAGACTTGTCTACCTTGACTAGCAAGGCTGTCAAGACACTGATTATTCAAGGAAAAAACACTATCTGTATAGTGAAACATTCACCTTTCCTTTGATAGGTGCAGATAGGTGCTTGTGTGAGCCCCTTTAAAGGAACATTATGGCTACATAAATGCTATTTTATCTTGTTCTGAAGTCAATCCTACCCAGTCTATGTAGTATCACAGCAATTTTCTGTATGCATGTTTTATGCCTACAGCCATGTTATAATGGCAAAAGACCAAACCCCTCTAATACTGGTCTCAAAAGCCTAGATGCAGAAGCCTCCATTCCTTGCCACACCTCTCCTCTCCCCAAACTAGAAAAGACAACAATTCCAGGGACACTAGGATAAAATTAAAAGGAGTAAAACTTAACACTGGCAGAACTACCCAGTTTCTTCACTGTCACATGTCACTGCTCTGTTAATTATTCTAAGCAGGCTATTCTAAAACCAAATAATAGAGGTCTAACTTCCAAAATTAGAAGCTCCACCTACTGTATAGAACTATGATAATAGACATTACTGCACCAAGCTTTTATCAAAGTTATGCTAAATGCATTCGGTTTAATCTCCTTAAGATCCCAATATTACCCAAATCAAACAGCAACTATGGAAAGCTTTTCTCCTTAGTAATGCTGGGTGGAAAAGACGAGAGAACATAACAGATTCAGAACATAATAGATTCACTCTTATTAAATTCCTTCTACAGGTAAGAATGTAAAACCCTTATCCTTGAAACAAAGATCAAGTTAGATTAAAGACTTTGTACTGAGGACAATCCCTCCCACCTCTTTAGACAGATGAGATGCTTCTCAAAAAAAAAAAAATCAGCCTGACTTACTCTCTATATACACAATTGTTCTTGTGACAGGGTACAGACCCAAAACCCACAGACCTCCAGCTCTGGACAGGCTCTTGATTAGTATTTCTTCACTCTTTCTGCATTAAAGTGACCACAAACTATGCCCTTAGGGCAGCACCCCACTTACAGTGAAGATACATAAAAGAGCTAGAACAGCATGGGAAAGAGCAGAGGGACTATTAACCTAGCCCTCATTAGAGCCTCACTGAGCTAATTCAACTCATTACCCCAGCAGAAAACACTGCTTTTTGCTAGGTTAGCTTTCTGCCAGCTTTATGTACTGAGTCAGCTTATGAAGCAGGTCTGCCAGAGTTAGTACAGGGTAAGCAGCAGATGCTGAGAGCCAGGGGAAGGGGGCATTGCCCTTCTGGAGGAAACAAGCTACTACATTACCTCAGCTATATTGTACACTTTCATGTTTAGCTCTGTCCCCTGATGGATTAGGGCTAAATGGATAAATTCCCCAAGCAGACCTCCCCACACAGCTGCAAGAACACTACAGCCAGCCTAAGTGAACTGCAGGAAGATAAACAGAGTAGAGCTGGCCCATACGCTTTTAAACCTGGGCAGTCACTTGCAATGGGTTAAGGTCACTGTAGAATTGTCTAGTTTAACTCCTCTATTCAAAATAGGGTTAACTAGTCCAGGGTCGTGATCCCAATTTTTGCCTTGTTCCCTCCTCTTGGGATCCTGAATGCCACCATCCCATGGTCACTGCAGCCAAGGCTGCCCCCAGTCTTCATGTCCTAACCAATTCTTCCTTGTTTCTAAGTCCAGCATAATGCATTCCTTCATCAGCTCCTTGATCACCTGTGTTAGCAAGTGGTCATCAACACATTCCAGAAACCTCCTGGATTGCCTGTGCCCCACTGTGTTGTTTCTTCTACCAGATACTGAGGTCCTCTCATGAGGACCAGGGCATGTAAGTATAAGGCATCTTCCAGCTGTCCGAAAGCCTCATCTACTTCTTCCTGCTCAGGTGGTCTGTAGTGAAGACCCACTATAGTGTCACTCCTATTGATCTGCCCTCTAATCTTAACCCATAAGCTCTCAACAGGCTTATCTGACTAAAGGCAGAGCTCCATGCAGTTCAGCTGCTTTCACATAAAAGGCAACTCCCACTCCTTGCTATCCCAGACTGCCTTCCTAGGCAGTCCTTATCCATCCATTGCAGCACTCCAGCTGTGCGAGCAATCCCACATCAGATACCCCAATAAAACTGCAGCCCTGCAACTGCATGCAGACCCCTAATTCCTCCTGTTTATTCCCCATGCTGTATGCATTTGTGTAGGGGCACTTCAGAGAGGCACCCAGTCTTGCAGATTTCCCAGAAAAGGTGTGAGAGCTTCCCCCATCACATTGTCCTGTTCATACATCCTTGTTTGAGTGCATACACCTGGGATGGGCTGCATTCAACTCTGCTCTGTTGATTACAAGGTGTCTCTTGTCCACATCAGCCTACACCCTTTGTTTGCAACTTCACTATTTCCTTACTCAATTGTGGGTAGTCATTCCCCTCTGTTGTAATTTCTAGTTTAAGTCCCTTCTCACCAGGCTGCTCAGCCTGTTGGCACAGACACTTTTGCCCTGACTTGGGTAGGTGGATGCTATCTCCTCCTGGTAGTCCTTGATCTACAAAGGGAGTCCCATGGTCATAAACCCCAAATCTCTGCTATAAATATCACCTGTGCAACTAACTAGTTGTTGACAGGCAGGATCTGTCTGTTCCTCTTGATGGTGAGGGGAAGGGGGTTGAGGATCATGGAGAAAAGCCACCCAGCTTCTTGTGCCCTTAGCTCTCATTCCAAAAGCCACATAATCATGCTTTATAAGCTCTAGGCATCCCCTTGTCATATCCATTAGTACTCAGGTGGAAGAGCTGCAGGGTTAAGTAGTCTGAGGGTGAAACACACCTTGGCAGTCCCTCCATAACATCCCTGATCAGGGCTACGCAAAAGCAGGAGACCTCGGTAAGACAGCAGCTCAGACGGAAGCCTCTGTCCCCTACAGGAGGCAGTCTTCCCACCACCATCACTTGCTGCTGCCACCAGGTGTTGGTCTGATGCTTTGTTGTATACAGAGCTTCCAGCCATGCGTCTTCTTCTGGTGCACTGAACTTACTTGGCAATTGCACATCTGCTCAAGGAACAGGAATCTTTCTCCTGGTGCCAGAAGCCATCAGCTCCCAGCCTTCACCATTGTGGGAGTATCCATTTCCCAACCTGATATGCACAGACTGTTCCTGCCCCTCCTTCAATATACCTGGAGGTTTCAGGCTCTTGAACCTGCAGGGTCTTGCTCTTTTTGTTATTTCTGATGCTGTGCAGCCTGCTGACCCTCTTCCACTAATCCTTTGCTTGGTGACACACATTTTCTACCATTGCACACCTTTCAGGGGCAGGGACATCACTTCCTTCTGGCCCAGTGGGCGCCCCCAGGCATCCCTGCAGCTCAGAATCTGGAGAGCTGCAGCCTCCCTCAGGAACTTGGCCCAAGTTGAGGCCTCTGATGTGCCAAGTGTAGTTGTGCCAGTGGTAGGGATCATGCCCTGTGGTACTTAACTCCTTCACCAAGCTGGTCAAGTTCAACAACTCAGCAGAAAAAGCTGAAAAACAAAAGCCAGTCTTGATTGTTTAACTTGCTAAACAAGCCCAGAAAGTCTGCAGCCAAGACCACAGCAATGCACATGAAAGGGAAGATGCACAATCATGAATGGGATCAGAATCTACCCCTTTCAATAGCAAGCTGTTGACCATATCAGTTTTACTGCAACTGAAACTCCATATACTCTTGTAGTGCTGCAAAAACAGCTACTGCTGTTAACTCAGCCAAGCGGAGATAAAAGATTCATCATCTGTGTGAATCAGGCCATTTTTGAGACAAACCACGTTGGAATTTGTGAAAGTTAAGCCTGTTTATTGCACTTTGTTTACGAGACCAAATACTAGATTAAGCGGAACACTGCTATAAACTAGTATGGCAATGTTCTATCATAATGAGACTTTACAAGAAAAGTTACTGTTTCAGAATGTATGTTCTCCCAAGCACTAAATTCTGCTAGTGAAGGAATAACCATTAATTACTATACTAGCAGTTAAAATAGTAACATAGTAAAAAAACCCCTTAAGCCTAGTAGTTTCTTCATCCTAGTGCTATTGAAGTTAAAGAAATAGACAAGCTTAAGTATGACCCCCAAACTGCTACCATTAAAAGTCCTATTTCATTAATGAAGGATTAGTCCTTAACAGTTATAAAAATTTCTGTTCTTACACTACAGACAACATTAGCAGGCACCTATTTTTTTTCCCAAACAACCTTATTACTGTTACACAATCCCTTTTATATAAACAAATGATATGTATCTAAATTAATTCAGATTCTCATAGGTTACTAAACCATTTGGAGAGTTTGTTTTTCAACTAGTCTTAAAAGATAAACAACTGGACTACTGTAGGGCCCTAAGTTTACATATTTGACAGCCAAGCTTTGTGCAAAAGCCCCTCAGAGCTCAAGCTGATCCAACACAGAAACAGCTCCTTGTCCTCACTCTTGTGCCAGCTCACTAACAAGACAGAGAAGATTAACCAGGCAAGTTTTTAACAGGTTAGGTGATTGATACTACCTAATCATTTGGTTAGCAAGCTGAGAACCAGCACAAGTTAAGAAGCAGGATAATATTGCCAGAAGCATAAAGATGATGGAATGAAACTGCCTCTTTCAGCAAGAGCTTGTTAGATTAGCTCAGGCATCTCATTTGGGCTCCACCCTAATTATGAACAGCTAGCATATGCCCAGTTTCTCCCCCTCACCAAGCACTGGTGCTCATACGGATTCCAAGGTTCACACAAGTAACTGGCTCCTCCTGATCTGTACTTGGCATATCTGAATTTGGGCAAAGCCACAGTGTTTCAAAAACAGTAAACATCCAGGTATATGTTTGTGAACTCTCACTGCTTCACCTGTTACTCCATACAAGCTTTCCACAGGTACACCACTTCTACCTGCCTAGTTTAAAAGAAGTCTTCCCTTTTGAATCACACCACCATTTCTGCATAGAGACAAGTGTATGTTGTCTCTCACCTCCTCCAAAAGGTAAACTAAATTAACAAGAGATCAACATGTTAAAGTGGACAGATTTATGATGCTTTAGCAGGATAGGATAAAATGCTTGCACTGTCAGTAAGTATAACATTATATAAGCCAGCAGTATAGGGTGATCAGGGTTGAACTCACAAAGTATAGGAATTTAGCCACAGGAGTCAAGGTGGGAAGGTTAAGTGTATATCCTAGATGCATCATTTAAAATGAAAGCTAACTGAAGAGCTACTAGTCAAACTTTTGCCTGTGGAAGCTTTTTTTGGCACTTTAGTCTGTTTTGTGTTTCCTACTAGGAAGCTGAGCTTTTTTGCTGATACTTACAATACCTTAAAAAACAATCAGCAGCTGAAGATGCAGAGGTGTTACAATATACCCTAGTTATCTGACATAATCTAACAGAACAAAAAGGACACTTAAAGATGGTATTGGAGGAAAGTAAATTTCTTCAGGACCAGCTTAGAAAGCTCTCTGGAATATTGTAGACTTATTCTTAAGGTAGTTCTCTAGCAAAACCACCACCCAGTTCAACATACACAAATGGAATATACTGTGAGGAAATGGAAAACAAACTTTCTGGCATTAAAAAGGCATGTTACTACCAAATTATTTCCTTTTCTTATTTTTCAACTCAAGTAGTGCTAACTGCCAAGTCAAATGAAATCACTAATGTAGGTAAGACAATCCTGGATATTTGTAGAGATTAATAATGAAATTCATTATACACAGATGTAATGTATTAGAACCCACAGGACCTACCCTGCTGATACACAGGTCTTGTTGCAGAAGTGCAAAAGCCACTTAGCACTGTGGCTAAGATTCATTATGCTACTTGTCTAAACAGAAGGTCTTCTATCCCAGTCAGATGTAATTTTGGTCAGAATTATTCTCCTTAATATTTACTGTATTTTGTACCTTCCGTAACTCCACCAGTATGCAATATAAGCTGGACAGAAGGCAATCATGCAATAGTTCCAATGACAAAGTAGTTCCGCCACTATTTTTACAAAGTTAGTCACTTTCATAGCTTGTATGGTGTTTCTTACACTTTAGGTGTACAAGCAAAGGCCACAGCAAACAATCTGACTGTTTAGTCAGCAAAGAGGCTTCTGAGAGGCATATCCATACAGCAGTTCTCTATCAAACTGCCTCCTGAATTCTGCTAAAATAGGTACTGTTCAAGACTGAAAACTTAATTCGAATGTGTTGCTAGTGACCTGATACCACACAAGGACTGGCTGATCCTCTGGCAAGTGAAGCAATCCAGGGGCAGCCAAAATTGGCCATAAGAACGCCTGGCTTTACACATAGAGAAGGAGAAGAAAGGTAGCTACAGGGAGAAGAAATTACACAAAAGAAACAGGCTATTTAAAAAAAACAAAACCAAACCACAACCCGCTGAGTCCAGTACAACAAGCAGATAAACTCAGGGCTGACGATGTTCTGTTCTTTAAGTACGGGATCAAGTCTTCAGTACTTGCCCTTATCAGTTTTAAAAAGTAGCAAGTCAGCTACTCCGAATGGAAAACAGAGTAACTGAAATACTACTTACACTGCAGACAGTCTCAAGAACTATTGTACCAATCTCACCAAAAAGGGTGGTTCTACAAGAGGAAGAAAAAAAACATTGAAAAGTGTTACTTTTAATTACTCTTAAATCCACAAATCAAGAATGGATAAACTTCTTGGCTCATATTTCCTGAGACAAAAGTTGCTATAAAAACAATTTTGATATTTAAAAACAACACAGTACAAAGAAACTTGCCTGGTAGTTGAAGTAAATACTGGTATGGCTCTAGGATTCTTTTAGATGTTTCATCCATCCCATCCATTTCTTTATTTCATAAGAGGTAGTTCACTGGTAAAGAAAGTGTTATTAACACTATTTACATCAAAAATTAGGGAAGTAAAAAATAGATGCATACAATTAATAAAAAGTCAGCTGACTTCAAGGTTAGGTGCAAATACTCCAATTTTGAACATAACACCTTCAGTTAATACTACCTTCACTACATAAGTTTTCTGGATGTCAATTAGAAAAGAAACAAGCATATGTATTAAATAGTTTTCTTTAATTATTCATGAATAGTTTAAACCAACTCCTAGACTTTGTTTGCTCTGACTTTTGTATGTATTAGAGGGCTTAGATGATAGAGAAGTATTTAAAACATCAGCATTCACAACAATGAAGCTCCACTGCAAGTCTTTAGAGAAGACACTCACCACATACAAAACTCTCACATGACTAATCTGATTAGACCTCCCTAGATGCTTTCTAGCATCTAGGATGGATGTGGAGATGCCCAAGAGCAGCAAATATACCTTACAACAAAGCAACCTAAACAAGTTGAATTTATTCTATCAGCCTTCTGATAGAATTCTTCAGTCCTGTTTTAGAAGGCAGAACAGGAATATACCATTTTCTTACCTCTGTTTAAGCATACAGACATCTTTACACTTTCCCATATACTATATACATCATAGACTCTTATGATAAATCTTTTAGGATCCATTCCCTACATAGCTCAACAATTTTCTATTGATTATGTTTCAGTTGACATACCTTTGGTCATCTGTATCTGCACTTTTTTCAGACTGTTTTCTACAATAGATTTTCTGTCCTTTCACCTCTAGCCTTCCTTGCTGCACTGCAGATGCAGCAGCTCAAAACAATTCTTCTAATGTCATTTTAAGACAGGAACTGCAGCAGTAGCATAAAGCCTCATGCTACTTCAGCATCATTTCTCAGCTACTTAGCTAGCATCCTGGAAAGGATGTACTTTTGCCCCTGGAGCAACTGAATAGTTATGTAAGTTATCCATAAAAATAACTATTTTAAAGTAATATTTATAAGTATGGACTGACGCATTTTTAACATAGGTACATTAAGGGGAGTGCTTAACATGAGTGGAATAAACTAATGTTCCACACTTGCTCAAAATAATCCAGCAATACTTTCCCATCAAAAACTCAAAAGGTCAGCATTAAGATCACTGCTTCCTCTTAAGCTACCTCGACAAACTGGTATTCCTCAACATTCATGACCTTTCCCTTTCAGTACAGCTCAATCAGTTCCTGTCTACTCCCATTTCCACTCTCCACACCCATAAGTATTTGTAGTAGTCCAAACTTAGGAACTGATCTGCATTAGTAACTATTTTCCAAGCTTAAGTTTGGATCAATTCCTTTATTTGCTTCACTGCGTAAGTTAAATGTATTAGCACTTCAGGGGCAAGAAAGGCTATTTAAGCAAACACCGTTGCCAACAAAATGCTCATAAGACTGCACCTTTTGGGAAAGCTTTGAATAGTTTCTCGGCAGTACAGCCTTTCCATCCTATATCCCATGGTGTGCCAGCACAACTAGCGGTCAGGCCACACAGTAATCTAAATCGGATCTGACACCCTCAACTCCCTATTTTGTTTTCAGCTTGTTGGTATAACTGAAGGGATAGGAACTGCTTTTAAGACAGTACTGCCACTGAGAGTCTGCTGTCAGACTGTACCCTTACATATCAAGGATAAGTCTCAAAGGACTTCAGTGAGGAAGTGAAATCAAAAAGATTATCACAGTCCACATCCAGATGTTTTAAGCAGAAAGAAGCTGGTAGAGATGGATACAAGGAGACACTACCAACTTCACAACTCTCCTGTGACTTATTTGTCAAAAAGCCACACAGATTGAAAGTGCCTAGCTATCCAACAGAGCTGGGAAGAGATGTTAGAGTTGGAATTGCTTCTCTGTAAGAGTTTCTGATTAAAAGCAAATCTTAAAGTTCTTCCTCTCTCCTCAGGGAGTTAGGAGGTTTCTTGCCTGTCTGTAGGATACTAAGACAACATTCAGAATCCCCAGCTAACTTGAAATTTGCTAGTATTACACAGCATTAAACTAAATCTTTGCATCTTTTGGCACAAAACTAATAGAGGTCCACCTGAAATGCTGCTTACCAGCAGAAAATTAGTCAGGCACTTCTCCCACAAGTGCCAAGATTTTTTTTTTTTTAAATAAAAGGGAGGCAAAAAAGCTCCAACAGGCAAAGAGTGGATGGTAACTTAGCTTAAATCACTATAGTTAAACTTTTCTAGACTGCTATGCTACCTTTAAATAAAGCGATAGGTAACCTCCTCTAAGGAAAAGAGAAACAGTCTGATTATTCATCAGACAGCTACATATCTAATACACCCACTAAAACAAGAACAGCAAGCAGAACCTCCCCCAAACTTATACAGAGAAAGGGACCCTTGATAAAGAAATATGTACATGAAGTTGCTTGTAAAGGCCTGTAATCAAGAATACCGTATGAGACTTGTAATTTTACTGCTCTTTGCACAAAGTTATCACATTTGACACACTTGGGAAATGCTTGATATTAAGGGTTTCCTACCTAGTGACTGACCAATTTACTACAGAAGTTACACTGTTGCAGAAAGTCTTCTCAATGAAGACATTTAGAGACAAGATCTCTAAATCTGTCTTAGCACCTCCTAACAAAAAGTAAAATTGCCAGGAGTTAAACAATAAATGAAAGGGAATGCAAAGCCTCTGGTTAGTGAAAGTGCAAGAACTGATTACATGTATGCTTATTCAAAAGATCAAAGCAGTTAAGGCCACTTTACCTTTTAAACCAGTACACAGACTTGCCGCATTTCAATTCATGCATGACTAATTTATTTGCCCAGTTATTTCTCAGTATCCCCACATAAGCATACAGAACAGCTGTTACGGGCACAGGCCATGCAATCACAACAGAGGGCCTAAGAACCATCTTTTAGACTGCAACAAACCTTCTCTCTAATGATGTCTTTGAAAACACACGAGACACTAGAATAAGATGGTGACATGAGCTTTCATAAATTGGAACTACTCTAAAACTATACTTGAAGCTGTGATCTGTGTCTAGGAGCTTTCTAGAGAGGATACAAGTAACATTAATTCTAGGTTACATGTCAAGAAAAATCTTCACTTTGGAACTTCGTAGAACAGCTTCTCGCCCCATCCCTTCCATTCTACAGAATATTCTTCCCCTCCTCCAAATTAGGGGAATATGATCACTGAAATAGCCCAGGTTAAGTATACAGATGATATTTTAAAAAGCATCATCATCTCAGTTGCTCCAATCACAGTAAACACAGAAAACAAGAGAACCACACAAAAGAGGCAGAGAGCTGTAGTGCAAAAGAACCATCCAGAAAGTTCTTAAATCAGCTCCATCACAGAACTTAGTGCACCAAGACACCGGTTTCATTGTAACCAGTGGGAAAAAAAAAAAAGCCCCAAATAGGGGGATGTAGGAGTGAGAAGATCTGTTTCAGAAGGAATACACAGAAACTGTTGTGAATGTGTATTGTTTCAAAGAGGCTATCAAGGCTCTTAATCCAAATGTAATTTGGACAGGATACTTGTCACCCTAGTCCACATTCTCATTCTAATTAGCAGAGTCCTCTTTACAAGCCCTCCTAGACTGACACCGAACAAAACCCTGTATTCAACTTAAGGGCAGGCAACTTCCCACAGGTGGAAGGATAGTCACACACCTTCCCCGAAGATGGAGCTAAGCAAACAAGCAGCTTTCTATAGCTGCAATTTCAACACTAACACCGGAACAGCAAGAACATACTGTTGCTGGAATTGTGCTTCGATTTTAATAGGATTTCCAGATATAATTGAGCATGAACGCTACAGAGGCCAGGCAACAATACCTGGGCTGTCGAAGTCGTCGCACCATGCTGTGACAGCACACAGGCAGGAAGGGTTTTTAAGCTGCAGGCTAACCTGAGGATAGAAAACGAGTCGGCAGAAACCGTGACTACTTCTGAATGGCTTCTCAGAGTAAAACTCACGTTTCACAAAGAACATGAAGTCGTTACCCTGCTTGCAGATGCCTAACCCCCGCCCAAAACACCACAGTCAAACCAAAGGAAATAGAGTTCATTTTTCGGAGTTCAGCGTAAGAGATGTAAACGCGACGGAGGCGGCAGAGCCGCTCTGGCTGCTTCCACAACTCAAAGGCAAGCAGCCCAGCCTCACCAGCGCCATTTTAGATAAAGCGAGACCGAGAGCCGAGGACTCCCCCCTCCCCCTACCCGCCGTCCACCCCCATTTTCTGATCCGCGCTGTCGGCAGCCGGGCTCA